CTCATTTATAAATAAATAAATATTATCTTTCATCTTTACCATATATACACACACGAGCAGAGTTATGGTAGTCAATCATGGGACGTTGCTTTTGCCATTCAAGCAATGCTTGCCACAAATCTCTACCATGAAAATTCGGAGACACTTAAGAAAGGGCATACTTTCATTAAACAATCCCAGGTACTAAAATTTTATAATTTGAATAAATATTTGTTATATTATTTTAATGTATATTCATATAAAGGTTAGAGAGAATCCTTCCGGTGATTTTCGAAATATGTATCGTCACATATCAAAAGGAAGTTGGACATTCTCTGATCGAGATCATGGATGGCAAATTTCTGACTGTACCGCAGAAAATTTACTGGTATTTTATTTTATTTTCATAGTTTCAAAAAAAAATATTAAATTACTAATTTCTCATATATATATATATATATATATATAAATGACGTGCCAGTGTTGTTTGAGATTTTCGACGATGCCTTCCAACATCGTAGGAGATCCAATGGAACCACAATGGTTTTTCGAAGCGGTCAATTTCATACTATCCCTCCAAGTAAGGATTGTAATTCGAATTTGCCTTATAATTATCTTTTTCTTGTTAACTTAAGGATGAATTGCCGAATTTTGTTGTGAAATAAATAGGCAAAAAATGGTGGAGTCTCAGCTTGGGAGCCTAACGGAGCTGTACCATCGTGGTTTGAGGTAGCTTATTCCATATATAACTATTTTGTGAAGCAATACTTAAATACATAATAAATCATAACTAATTAATATAATTATTTTTCAGCTATTGAATCCAGTGGAATTCTTAGAATACACCGTATTGGAGCGGGAGTAAGTAGACAATTTAATAATATTACTTAAAAAATATTACATACGAATAAATGACATTGAACTGATTATTATTTATTTTGTTTTGGTAAAATTAGATATGTAGAATGCACGTCATCGTCGATACAAGCACTTGTTCTGTTTACGAAATTATTTCCAAATCACAGAAAGAAAGAGATAGAAACATTTTTAAGTAAAGCAATAAAGTATTTGGAAGAAACGCAGAAAGAGGATGGATCTTGGTTTGGTAATTGGGGAGTTTGTCACATTTATGCAACATACTTCGCTATAAAAGGACTGGTGGCAACTGGAAACACATACCATAACTCCTCGACCATACGAAAAGGTGTGGAGTTTCTTCTTAAAATTCAATGTCCAGACGGTGGATGGGGAGAGAGTCACGTTTCATGTATGCAAAAGAAATACATTCCTCTTCCTAGGAATTCTTCCAATCTTGTTCAAACTTCCTTTGCCTTAATGGCTTTGATCCATTCTCAGCAGGTTTGTTATACTCTTTTACTTCAATTATTATAAGTACGTAAAGCTTTTATATATATATATATATATATATATGATAAAGAAATGGCGTATGTATGTAGAAAAAGAGAGACCCAACTCCTCTCCACCGTGGGGCAAAGCTATTGATTAATTCTCAACTGGAGAATGGTGATTACCCTCAACAGGTAGGTTATTGTAATGTGTGTGTTTTAGTTAAACTATAACTTTTGTGATATTAAAAAGAGAGTTATTTGTATGGCAGGAGATAAGTGGAGTATTTATGAACACGTGCATGCTACACTATGGACTATATAGGAACGTATTCCCTTTGTGGGCACTTGCAGAGTATTGTAATATGGTTTCATTGTCATAGTCCCGACCCAAATTTATTTAACATGCTTTCCGCCTTTGTTTCATTCCATCTCCATATATTTATATATTCTTTTAAATTGGACATACACGTTTCAACTTTTGTTTCTAACCGTTTACAATAGTGATCCATTGATATTCGCATACAGTAATTTTAAATAATATTTAAACATCATATAATTTCTTGCAAAATCATCGATGTTTGTGGTGAGCACCGCAAAATCATCCGCTGATTAAGCACCGCAAATCATCCATGTTTTTCCTCTCAACAATAAAATCAAGAACATATTCATTATCAAGATGTTTGTGACGAGCTATCCAGATTCCGTCACCAGTAGGTAGCCTCCTAGATCTTGAATTGACAATAGATATTCTCAATCATTCTCCTAGACCGAGAACTGTGGTTGGCAAACTGTTCTCGATCGTCCAATATCATGACTACGTTATAAGTATCTTCGAATTTCTCACCAAAGCTCAAAGGTGGCATGCTCAAGATGTTCGTATTTTCTTTCACAACATCTTTGCGAGATTCGGTGATGGAATGATTAGATGATGAGTAAGCTTTCAAGTTAAAAGATGTCTCTCCATTATCACTAACAACGATCTTTAGCAAATGCCCTTCATTGGAAGAACCTGTCAACCTATTTTCTCTTCCAACGACTTCTACTTGACCATAAACAAGATCTTCACAAAGGGGACATAAGACTATTGGCCAAAGTGATAAGATATCCTTGTTCGAGTTAACCTCTCTAAAGGAATCAAGAACTTGATGCTTATAGTAGTCCATGCGCATAAACCTCTCAAGTAATTCAAGGAGAACATCGATCTTGGTGTTCTTAAATATCAAAATTTTCTTTTTGGCAGAATCGGCCAAATCCATCTTCAAAATTTCGGAGATTAATTAACACATCCTTATTACATTCACTAGTCTGATTAATCAGGATATTCACTTGTTCCAATCAAATTAAATGGGATAAATTACCAATCTTGGAGTAAATCATTTATGCATGAACCAATAAGTGATGATATTCAATTGTTCCAATCAAAGTAAGTGGGACAAGTTACCAACACTGGAGTAAATCATTTATGCATGAACCAATAAAACCACATTGGGAGGCAGCTCTTTGAGTTCTAAGATACATCAAAGACGGTTTACTTTCAGGGTTTTGCATCTTCCCGTGAAATTCAATTATTTTTTGGAAGTCTAAAAAGAAACCAATGGGTTCGGATCATCAACAAAAGTCAAGTATCCAGCTATGACAAATACTTATTTAGAGTTAACTTGGCTGAGATATATTCTTCAAGACTTGAAAGCTCCGCTGTCCAAACCAGCATTGTTGTATTGTGATAATCAAGCAGCATTGCGCAGTCTATCCAGTTTTTCACAAACATATGAAGAACATTGAAATAGATTTCCATATGGTTCAGGAAAAGTTACAAGTTGGAATCATCAAACCATGTTATGTTTCGACTAAAATGCAATTGTCAAATGTTTCCAGTAAAGAGATGGAAAGACAACAATTTGATTTTCTAAAACAAGTTGGGTGTGATTGACATCAACTCTCCAATTTGATGGGACTATTAGAATATCAAGATATTTAGGAAATATATTGTAATTAGTTAAGAAATATATTTAGGAAATATATTGTAATTAGTTAAGAAATATATTTAGGAAATATCAACTTGAGGGGACTATTACAATCCACAATGTGATTTTGCCACTAGTAAGTCATCGAGGATGATGACTAGTTTAAGTGGGAGAAAGTGTCACAACATCGCTAAGAAGACAGTAGGTTGTGACCCCACATACAGACTAACAATGGGGCGACCTCCAAGTGGTGCCCATTTGGCCACATGAAGGTCAAGACAGACAAGTGTCATGATGCAACCGAGGAGGATGGTGCATCATTCAACACACCAAGAAAATTGTGCATTAAAGCCAAGTTGAAGCATAAGGTTGGAGAGAACGAGGGATACGAGTGTTGAAGACAAGTTTGGAGAGGCATGATGTCAGGCCATAAACTCAAAAGTCAGGATTTCGATATGAGTTTCGACATGCGACTTTAGAGTTAAGTTTGTCCACATGTAAGATGAAAACTCATCAAATCATGTCCACAAAGTCGTACGACCGCTCGCCAAAATCACCTATACTCTAAAAAGATTAGATTGCCTTAGAATGTACTATAGGGGGAGGCATGATGTCGGGTCTCCACCACACTGGTCTTGTGGCCTAAGCAAGCTACATACATGTGTCATAGTGTGAGCGAGTGTTGTAAGACGAGCGTCTCAGGCGATTTGCTTTGAAATTTATTTTTCAAGGATGCGTCGAATGACATGGGTGGGCTGACATTGCATCCTAGAACATGTGTCGGAGGTTGGTATATGCACTCACTATTCAGCATGGAGATGAGAACCTGAATAAATGGATGTTCGAAATGTCTTTATGAGATGATGACATATGAGTTGGGTCTGATACACATGTCCAAGCAAGCCAAGATGGTCAAGCTGTCCGAAGACATGGGATGGCATCAATATGCATGGGTCATATTTTTTGGAACCAAGATGATGATTGAGATATGACGTTGCACATGAGTGACCTTGGCCTAGAGAAGAGGCAAAGTTGAGTCGAATGACTTTGCCTCGTGTAGAGGCAAGTCGGCTAGAGTCGCAGATGATTGAACATGCACGCACGAGTGGCGTGTGTGGCAGAACAAGCTTGGATTCCACACGAGTTGTGTTCGGTTGGCGAAGGAGAAGAAAAAAAATATCTGTCAAAGTCAACCGACATTTTTCTCATCATATTATTTTTGGGGTACGTTGTAGAAAGAAGGAAACAAGGGGCTAGGGTTTTGAGGGAAACAAGGAAGAACAAGATTCGTCCAATCTGACAATTGGATCGAAATTAACCTAGTAGTCTTCATGAAAAGTATTCACTAAGTCAACAAGCAAAGGTTTGGGTGTTCGGATTGTTCAATTTTCCAAGAATCCGAAAGAACAAAGGTGAGTTTTACATATTTTTAGGTCTCGGTTCTTCTCAAAATACTTGAGCAGGGGGAAAATTTGGTATTTGGATATTATTTGCATCAACGATTTGGCCAATCATTCATGATTGGTTTTGACACGCCATGCTTCATAATTGGAAAAACGAGCACTGTGGAAATACATCCCACTCAGCCGGCTTTACTTGATTGAATTTTGATTCGAGGGAACGAAAGCGTGGAGCTGAAATAACTCACTCAAAACACCTTTTAAAGGATTACGTGGTACGATTAGATCGAATAAGCCGATCCTTTTCCTCGTTTGAGAATCTCCTCCCCTCTTCCATTCCGTCCCGAAGAGTGACCGGGACCAATTCAGTCACGTTTTCATTCATTTGGAATCTGGGTTCTTCTACGTCTTTTTTATTTACTTATTTTTCCTTCTCTTTTTTTTTCTTTTTTTATTCCCTTCGATCATTCCTTAAGTCCCATAGATTTGATCCCGTAGAATCTGACTATTCTAAGGCATTGGTCTCTATAACTTTAGTATGTCGATCTTGGAGTAATTTCACACATTTTGCATGAAGGAATCTAGAACCGAATAGCATGAGAAGTAGGATATCCGAGAAGCCTCCAAGAATGGTAAGAAAGTTGATTTTAGCCAATTTTGGTGTTAATAACTTTGCTTATAATTGATTAGAAATATCAAGAAAATACCTTCATGGGAGATAGAATAAAACTCTACAACTTTCAAGAAAAATACCTGGTATGAAATACGATAGGATATGCATGGAAGCATTGAATGTTATGATATGACATATTTATGTAACTTGAATGATCTAATATGATTGACATGTAAAACGATGAAAGACAATATGATATGTATGAAACGTAAGCGGGGTTGTATTAAAAGATAATGAAAATGGAAAAACATTGGGACCTCATGCATTAATGTGTGCTCATGCATTGGTGGATTCCCCTATTTCTTCACGATTGTACGAACGCGTACACTACTAGGCAGAAACTATTATGTTTTACATAATGTTGTCATGACTGCTATTACTTCTAACGGGTGCCTGGCACAAAGAGCTACTATAGCATGCTACCTCAACATAAAAGGGGCCAGTAGTGTGCAAACCAACTGGTGGGTCCACACTCACATGTGTTGGTCGTGTGTAGAGTAATGGTTGAAACACCCGAACCCGACGAGAAACTTAAAACCTAAGTTTTTTCTTATAAGTTAAATTTTCGAGATTTTATTAAGAATCTTAGAGCCTGAATTTTGAGATGAGAAAGAAGAGAGAAATACTTAAAAATATCTCAGAAACTCAAGAAAAATATAAAATAAAAATAATCGAAAATTAGGAAAATGATCAAAGTCAACCACAGAGTGGTAATTTGGTCATTTTGCCATCTTCCTCGTCAAGAACCTGAAATGGAGGTTAGTAATAGATAAATAAAATAAAAATAAAAAAAATGGAAAGGAAGGAGAGGAAAAGAAAAGAAAAGAAAAAGAAAATAGAAGAGAAAAAGAAAGAGAAAGAGAAAGGAAGAGTTAGGGTTTTTAAGAAGAGGAAGAAGAAGGAGGAGGGAGAAACGCCCAAACCCAAATTGAAGCACCCTCAATCTTAGGTCTCCTACTAGAGTTAATCAGAGTATCAAGAGGAGTGGTATGAGCGTTGGATTGTTCGTTTCCGGCAAGAAACGGGCAAGAACGCGAGGTAAGTCTGCGACCTCTCTTGTTTCAAGATTTCACCATAGATTCGGGAGTTTTAGATGATTTAGACCTTAATAATCTAGTTGCTAACACTTTGGGTGAGGGGTCTTGCACGTTTTTAGAGGAAACACTCCAAAAATCGCGTCGAAAAATAAAATCGAGAAACTGTCCTACTTCGGTAAGAAACTAAATTTTTCTCGCAAGGGTCGAGCAACTAGTGGAGAGACGCATCTGGCGCCTCTGCTGACACGCATCGACGGTTGACCCAAAAACCCGACCCGTGCTCGGTGAAGCAACTTGACGACCCGCGATCCAACCCGAAAGCTACCGCCAGTCCCTGTACAACACGTCACACCTAGAAAATTTGAGGGGTAAGTCTACGTCTATTGGGGTTCGAACGTGCCTCTGCCTGCGCGTGCGCCCTGCGCGTGGAGCCCACGCGTGGGGAATTGTGCAGGCGCGTGGGAGTCCCCTGTAAGCGCGTGAGTGTCCTGTTTTCACCCGTTTTTCATCCCGATTCCAGTGCTAATCCTATTTTACTGTGAACTAGGTGTCTTAATAGATAATTTGTAATTTTGGACTCCGTTACAACTGTAATCAAGCTCGAAAAAGCACGCGACATACTTGTACTGTAATCAAGCTCGGGAAAGCACGCGACATACTTGTAAGTAACCACACGGATTTAGGAAGTAATACTTGTAGGGTGCGCTTGGTTTTGCATGCATGCTAGAGCAAATTATCCCTGGGTGGCTAGATCTAATGATCCTCTGTACTTAGGGAATTAAAAATATATCTATTGGACTTGCTGCCTTGATGAGATTTCGTACTCGATGTTGGTATGCTTGCTGGTCTATTTTACTACTACTTTTATCTGTTCATACTAAGTTGTCGGACGGGAGAGTTCGTGTATCTGTGCTCCGGGTGTTGATGGATGTTACTGTCCCGCTGAGCTTGTACGATTGTATGCATTGTTAATCATACATAAACTCCTGTTGAATAATTTGTGTATCTGCACTCTGAGTATTGATGGATGTTACCGCTCCGTTGAGCTTGTATGATTGTATGCATTATTAAATATACATGAACTTCTGTTGAATAATTTGTGTATCTGCGCTCCGGGTGTCGATGGATGTTACTGCCCCGTTGAGCTTGTATGATTGAATGCATTGTTAATCATACATAAACTCCTGTTGAATGATTTTGTGAACTTATGATATGATTGATAAGTTGTAGTGGTGTGCTACGCCTATGATGAACTCTTGTAGGGATTGAGTTGGGTTTAGTTTGGGGACCCTCCGAATGTTACAGTCCATGGTGTCGTGAGCGACGCTTAGAAGGAGAGACCCTTTAACCTTGGATTGTTATGGACTTGGAAGTCTTGATTGAGTGAATCTGGAAGCTAGAACCTCTAACTCAATAGTTTTAACTACCCGTGAAATATAGAGAACCACATTAGGACCTCGAGGTGTAGAGAGATGACTTCTTAGCCGACAGTATCTGGTTTAGTGTTTGAGTATTCCCCGCTTCCCTTCCTACTCTAGTGTGGTACTGTTGAGCTAGGCGAGACACCAGTTAGGGAGATGTTACCCTCCCCTTCCTACTCCGGTGTGGTACCGTTGAACTAGGCGAGACGCCAGTTAGGGAGATGTTACTCTTCCCTTCCTACTTCGGTGTTGTACCGCTGAGCTGGACGAGACGCCAATTAGGGAGGTGTTACTCTTTCCTTCCTACTCCGGTGTGGTACTGTTGAGCTTGGCGAGACGCCTGTTAGGGAAGTGTTACTCGGTGGTAGATCGACTATTCTGCATGGGGATCCATCTTATGGTAAGATGTTGATCACGCGAGTGGGTCAAGGTCGCCTACATGATGGGTCCTTCTTGTGGAAGGACGTTGACCATGCAATGACTAGTTCTAGCTGGGTTGTACGAGGGGTACATGTAGTTATGAGGGAGCACCTCATCCTCAAATGTTGAAATACCGCTTCAAAGGTTAAGTCCTTCCACCCCGATCTGTGTACTGAGAGTATTGAGACTCTAGGGTCTAGAGTATAGTTGGTGGTTCTCTCTTAAACTTGGATGCGATTAAGAGCTTACAAGTAGGTTGCTTACTGAGTATATTTTTATACTCACCTCGTTTCCCCTTCTTTTTTTCAAGTACCGGTCGAGGTGGGGAGGTGTCAGATAGCTGCACTGTCACAGAGGGGTGTCGTTATGGAGCGTCAGTCCCTTGTCGGTTTTTTAGAGTCTTTTGTATTTTTCTTCATAATTGTATTTCCCGTTTGAAATATTTGATTTTAATTTTGGTGTGGTTGACTCCTTTTTTTCTTGTTTTAAATTTTATCAAATTTTCATCTCCTATTTTATCTTCTTTTTAATTTTATTTATTTTTTATTTTGTCCTTTTAGTCACGATTCGATTTTTCGAAGCCTAAAAAATCGGGTCGTGATAATGGTATACATCCAAGATGCCTGTTAGGGGAGTACCGTAGGAAAATAAACTATTATGATAGGTCCCATCAATGCATTCACATGTTCTTGCATTTAACCCCAATAGTGGGGTCACTTATTGAGTATTTCTTTAAATACTCAAGTCACGTGCTACTTCTATTTTAGGTTAAGGCAAAGCATTCCTGTACGGCTAACGATGACATCACAACTCGAGATCGACCATGGCACATGCATAGGGTAGTCATTTTAAAGGTGTTTTCAAAACACGTAAGTCCTTGATTGTGTTTTAAGATGAAGATGACGTTTTATGAAAGTTTAAATGAAGTATTTCTGCATTCAATGTTCATCATACGTATACAGTCACGACCTTAAAGTAAGTAAAAAAGTTCAGGTCGTTGTTCAAATTGATATAGCCGAATCTTATAACAAAGACTTATTGGTCATTCCTCTATTAAGAGAGTTTCAAATCAAATTCCTTAGTTTGAATAATGATTGGATTGTTTAATCAAACAAAGGAGACTAGTATATTACTAGTAGTACATGCATGTCTTTTTTAGCTTTCATAATAAATTACATATTAATAGTTGAATAAGTTACAGTTAACTAAATTTAAATTAAATTAGGTTGATAATAACCAAACAAAGAGTAAAAAAATGTCATTGGTACCATGTTTTAGTTTTTATTCTTTTGTTTTTCAAAGATAGAGAGATGAATTTTGACAAGACAAACCCTAACAGCTGAGATGAATTACTAATATCAATATAATTATTAAATGTATAATATTTTATTAATCTCTCAAATAAGAAATGTGGTCAATATTAGATATAATTAATTTTAGGGTGAAATTTACCAAATGTTTGTGCTACTAGTAATACACATGCAATAAGTTGTTTGACTAAAACAATGTAACCATTGTGTAAGCTAAAGAATTTGAATAGAAGCTATTTCAAAATAATAATAATAATAATAGAAATTAAGAAGCTATCTCAAAAAATAATAATAATAATAATAATAAAAGAAATAAAAAAAAAAAAGTTTTTAACTCATGGACGAAAACCATCCATCAACACTATTATCTCCTATTTTAATGTTACTTTTGAAAGTTAATTAGTATGGTATTGATGGTAAGATTATTTTTGAAGTTTTTTCTAAAAAATTTAAGGCTACTAACCATATTTTTTAAAATTCATGGATATTTTTTTAATGTTAAAGTTTTGAAACCCTTTTCAAAATTAGGAGTGTATTTGGAAAAAAAATATATTAATAGTTTCTATCTAAAATGTAACTATCCC